GGAGGAGGCAGGGTGCCTCGGTACCGGCTGGGGGGTTTTAATGGACCGAAAGCGCTTGTGAGAAAACGGCAAACAAAAGCCGTGCCTGCTTGTCCGCGGCTGCCAGGCTTGTTCCCATGCAATTTACTTTCCAAAGAGTGACCTGATTGTGCAGCCCTGTAACTCGAAGTGACACATGTAAAGGTTCGAAGCAGGCAGGCTGGGGGGCACCGGGTCGGGCGCTGCCTCGCCTGGAAACAAAGGGGCTGGGGGTTATGGGCGCTCTGTGTCTGTACGAACTCCTGAAAGCAAGGTTTTAACAGCTTACTGCTTTCTTGGGGGATTTGGGGGGGGCGGGTTTGGGGTTTTTTGTTTGGTGTTTTCTTTTGACTGATCTAAAAGTAAAGCAGCCCTGGAGGCAAGGAATTAAGTTCACTAACATTATATTTTGCAAGGAGAGAAAATAGGTTATTTATGTACTTTCTACTCATTGATAATGTTCCAAAGCCAAGACAAAAATGTCATTGTCGGGAAGTTTTTATGAAGTATTATTAACTCTCTGAGCAGTAGCTATTGGGTTTTGCTGTTGCCTGATGCCCATGTCCCATGCACAGCCGGGAAATTAGAGAAGTGTGTGTACGGATGCGTGCCTTCACAGCTCCTGTGTCCTTCGTACCAACGTTGCCAGGGTGTTTCTCCAAATCCTGGAAATCGTTTTCCATCCCAGCAGTCGCTGTAGCACCGTGATGACAGTGCTGGCAGCCCTGGGGAGAAAAGGGTCCTGGGCAAGGCAGGGAGCAATGGAGCAGCTTGTCTCAGTCCAGGTGTCCCAATTTCTCTGTGTGGGCTTGTCGAGACACCAAGTGCCCCTCACCAGGCAGGTTCACAAGGGGGTATTTACCTCTCCGTGTGCCGTTCTGCTTGGGAAGTGGGGTAACAGCAATATATAGGGGGGGAGTAGGGACCGGGAGATCCATCCCTGGATCCCAGCAGCAGTTTCAGAGAGACAATAGCTCTCCGGATGCTCGGGACGGGCGTCTGGATGCTTCCTGGCTGGGATGAGCGGCAGGGCTGGCCATCCCCTCCCAGCCCTCCAGCAGCTGGAAGCTGTGCTGGGAAGGGGAGGCTGCAGCGGCGCTGGGCTGGCTTTCCTGTATGGAGGTAAACCGACATAGGAAGCAGCTGCCTGAAGGTTCACGGGCAGGCTCGGCTTTGCCTGCAAACCCAGGGCAACCTGCGCCTCTCTTCCCAGCCGGCTCGTGGAGAGGGCGGTTGTTCCCAAACCTTTTGTAGGCCTGGCTTGGTGGCCAGGGACATCTCAGGCAGCAGCTTAGGACTTGGGCAGGGTTTAAACCCAACCCTTGTCCCGTTTCATCGGCTTGCGAAGAACCAGCAGTATGTTCTTGTTCTCCCAAACCCGGCTTTGCTGGCGTGGGCCATGGCCCAGGAGGGGCTGGCAGAGGTGGCAGCGAGGGACAAGGGGAAGAGTCGCCCTGAGACCCCCTGGGGTTTGTATTAAATGTAGAGTTTAGCAGCTTTTGGCTGAAATTACTGGTATATCAGAGCAATTACTGGTATATCCTGGGGGTCCTTGCCCAGCTCTGGGATCCAGCTCTTGTGCACGGGATGCTCTGAAGCAGAGGGAGGGACCCGAAGAAGACTCGTCACCTCCAACCCACCCTGCGTGCTCCCAAACGCTCCTTCCCCCAGCAAAGCCTTCAAGAGTCCACTCTGACAATTGTCAAGGGCTGTTAAAATACCGTAGTTATCAGGCTGTAATTTTCAGTAGAAACCAATTGCGGGTTTCATCTCCGAGGGCTGCCAGAGCTTAAATCCAGGTTGTGCTGCAACAGACACGTTTGTCCTTCAGTGCCTGAAATAACAAGTAGAAGACATTAGTGTCAAGCGCTTCCAGCTGATGAAACATTCAACTCGGATCCAGGGTGAAATACGATGAGGATTTCTTAAATGGAAATCGTTTTTCTGCGTGTTGTAGGCAGCCTGCTATGTGTCGTGTAGTTTACGTCTCTTGTGATGGAGAGAGAAAAGCGGAGGCGTCGGAAGGATGTGCTCCTTCTGCTGTTGCTCTGCTTAGCTCACATGAGTTGTTTTAACCTCTCTGTGTGTGTGATTTAGGACTTTTTTTTTTTCAATATACTGGAAAGGAATAGGAATTATTAAGTGGCAATATAAGATATTGGCTTACTTTGTATAATACGCGCTCGGTCTTCTGCCATCAAGTTTTCTTTATGGGTGGAGAGCACCTTCTACAGGAAATGGAGCTAATCCAACTGCAAAACTTTGCACGTTTATTAGTCCTTTTTTGTGTTAAACAGTTCAAGCATTAGGAGGATTTAACACACTGTTTTAACCCCCAAAGATCACATTTCATGATTCCTATAAGTGTTTATGTAACCTCCAGCCATGTTAAAGTGAAATATAGTTTAAAGAGAAATGAAACCTCTTACCCAGTCCCTGAATTAAACCCTGAAAAGCAGTGAGCAGCACAGTAAGAACTAAAATACCCAGGATGACACCCCACCATAACTCATTCCTGTCCAAAATAAGGACCAGACTCTCTGTAATCCCCATATGCTTCTTGCACTCAGCAATCTCCTCCCATAAATTGATTTGTCATGGCTATCTCGGTGCAGAAATTGGACATCTTTTTGATTGAATCCAGCTCTCCAAGGCGGGCAAGCGAGCGAGATGGCATCAGAAATGCGCCAAGCCAGCCGAACGGAGGTTTTACAGTTATTAATGACCCAAAAGAAAACCATTGCCAGAGCAGTTCAACGTGTTTTTACACTGCGATGCTGCAGCAAGAGGCCAGGCTCCAGCTCGTGATCCTCGGAGGGTTCAGCTGGATCCCGTTATTTAACCAAAGGCATGCACGCTGCCACTCGGATGCCCTGCGAACAACTTTATCGGCTCTGTTGCACAACTGGGCAGCCAAACACCAGGACATACATGGGGGGAAAAAAAAAAAGAAAAAAAAAAAAAAGAGCTGGTTTCTATGTCAGCTCCTTCCTTGCTTTTCCACGGAGCAATAAAAACTGAGAAACAAACAGCTCAGCTTCCTGCATCCTTGGTTATAATTGTAGGAGTAAATTGCCACTTACAACAGGTTCACTGTTCAGCTCGGTTCCTTATCTGCCCGTGCTGATAGGGACTTGCAAAAGTTGTTTCCAAGGACGGCTAGACCCGCGTAAGCCTCTGGGTAGCTAGAAAACGTGGAGATGCAGATGGGAAAACCTGAGCTCCCTCCCCGTGTTACCCAGCCTGGGTGTGCTAATTACTAATTTGGGCTGGCGGAGGCAGTCGGCGGCAGGACTGAAGTTTGGGGCTTTGGTGCCAGCTAACAAAACGATGAGTCCTCGCCACTTTTTGCCCCATCCAGAGGATCCATGCTGTCTGACTCTCTTCCCTTCTGGCGCAGGACTGAGGTTTGGCAAGGGAGAAAGTGCCCCGGTCCTGGAGGACCGATAAGCTTTGTGCAGCGGCTGCCAAGGGAGGATGTGGAAGTTTCCTCCCAGCACTTTGTTTCTTATTGTGTTTCTACCTCCCGAAATTGCCAAGCGCTGGCTTTTTCACATCCGGGAGAGGGGTTACATCACAGGATATTTAGGAAACAGTAGTCAGGAATAGCTCCTCCTCTCCTTAGGCTTTGGCTTCAGGACCAGACCCTGGCTCTGTACCGGTGCCTTGGTGGGGCATGAGGAGAGCATCATTCACCGTTGACTCATTGCTGATAACTTTTAACGCAGCTTTGATTTGAAAGCTTTTAATTACCTACCTGATGTCTGGCTGAATGAATTGTTTCTCGCCGACTCCATCCCTAAACTCACCGTGAGTCACACCAGCCCTTCAGAGACCTTTGTTATTTTATTGGAGTATGGGCCGTGTATCTGTTTCCTGATTCACACAGTGAGAGATGAAATTGTTCTGTAATGGGTTTTTTGTTGTATTTTGTGAGGTCTGAGCCTTCTTCTCTGTTGTACAGAAAGGTGGTAGCAGGCACTTGGGATTTCACAGCTATCAGTGTTGCAGGCAGGCATTCAATAGCACAAAAAGTGCTATTTTTGATTTTTGCAACTTAAAGATATGTAAATATGCTGTAAACCAAGGTTTTTGAACAGAGCATCACCCAGTGTGGCTAAGCTTGCCTTTTCCACTTGTTCTTACAGGTGTTTTACGTCTCAGATCTCTTCAAGCCCAAGACAAAGACTTGCCTGCCTCCACCACCCATCCGGAAGGAGATCCTTTCACCTGTGGACATCATTGAGCGAAATAACCATCACAACATGGTGTAGACCTTTGAGAAATCGGATGGGTGTTGTATTTTATTTTAAATTTTTTTTTTTTTTTTTTTGCAAAAAATGACTGCTGACAGCAACTACCTGCTGCTCTCAAATCTCATCAGACAGTAGAATGTAGGGAGAGACTTTCTTGCCCGACCAGTAAAGTCTTACTCTGTGGTCTTTTCAACTTGCGACATTTGGATGAGAGGGGTGGTGGTCAACTAAGTCAAAAGCGACAGTGAGAAAGAAAAAAAATAAAAACAAAAAACAAAACACGAAATTCAAAAGCCGAACAAACAAAGAGAGGTGCCGGAGTTCTGGATGTGCAATTGGTTTGAGTGTTCATGTTGTAGTGAACGCCAAATTATTCATAGGCTAATGAACACTAAGGGATTTTTGGAAAGCTGGCCATCTTAGGTTTTATTTACTATGAAGATTTCCAATGCCTGCGAGAAAAACCAACTCACAACTAAATTGTATAGCACTATATACGAGAAACAGCACTGAGTCAAGATCTGGGATTGGTTTGTAAGAGTTGCTTTTTTCTCTTTTTGATACTAGTTTATTTTTGCCTCCTCTATTCCATACTGTGACTTAGTTTAGAAGAAGCTTGCCCAGTCTAAAGATCTCCGAAGGGTCTCTGTTCACACTACACGCCTTTAACGAGCAGTGCTGAGATGCGCAGTGAGGCTGAATAACTCCATCCTCTGCGCAGAGGAGCCACGTTTCTTCCTCTCCACTCGCTCCCCGGCAGGGGTTCGCCCTGCCCGAGCCCCCAGGCGTGTGCAGCACCCACAAACGGCCCTTCACGAGAAGAGCATCCTCCGCTTCCCGGCCATCCCCTCAAAAACAAATCACAGCAGATTTTCTGCGCTTCCTGCGGGAGCTGGCGGTTTGCAAGTGGGTAGCGGCGGCTCTGCCGAAGACGCCTTCGCACTATGACCTCGGGGCTGAGTCCCGGGGAAACTTTGATTCTGCAGTTTTGGGACGGGCTGCTGGGCGGCACGTCCCAGCCTGGGTGTCAGTCGGTTTGTGCATCCTCCCCTGGGCACCCCGGTGCACGCCACGGCAGGTACCAGGTCCTGTGCTCCGCTTGGTGACACCGGTGGTAGATCAGTCATGCCTCTATCGAGTGTGATTTATTTTTTTTTATTTTTATTTTTTTTTTTTTT